AGCCCGCGAAAAAGGAAAAAATTAAAAAACGGCTAGGCGCCGTACCAACTCGTGACATTACCCCCCCCTCAACGGCGCATGACCTCATGCGAGGCGCCCTTGCCCATCTCCCATCCGGAGCGGCAACGTGCTTCAGTCAGCGGCGAAGGCATTGGCTGAAAGTTGAGACCACCAAAGGTAGCAGCGTTGAGTCGACGAGGGGCGTTTGGATTCTTCCGGTGGAAGTCGGCTATGAGGGCCGGCGCATTGGCAACGTTGCGCGCCGGTTCCCATGACGTATGCGAGTCGTCATAACCCTTCCACTTGACGAGGTACTGCAGCTGACGCCGGAAGATCCGCGAATCCTTGATCCGTTCAACCTCGTACTCCTCGTCGCCCTCAACCTCGATCGCAGGTGGCTCCTCCGGCTCCCGGCCCGGGATATCACTACGCGTGTACTTGCTCAGCAAGGAGACATGGAACACCGGATGTACCGGCACCGACTTCGGCAGGACTAATTCATAATCCAAGTCTCCGAGCTTTCGCCGCACGGCATATGGTCCGAGGCGCTTGGGACTAAGCTTCTTGCTCGGCTGTTTCAGCTTAAGGTTCCGAGCGTCAAGCCAGACCTTGTCCCCCGGCGCAAAGACCGGTGCCTCTTGCACGTGCTTATCGTAGTACACCTTCATGCGCTCGGCTGACAGCTCAAGCGCAGAGCGCGTATCGTCGCGAATCTCCTTCAGGATCTTGAGCCGATCAGCGGCCGCAGGCATCGCAGACATCGGATTGATCCGCACTTGGATCTCAGGATTGTACCCTTGATGCAGGAAGAAAGGGGAATGCCCGGTCGCGGAGTGAACTCGGTTGTTCAATGCGAATTCCGCGAGCGGCAACTGCTTCGCCCAATCATCCTGCCTGTGGTTTGTGAAAGCACGCAGGTACTGCTCGATCTCCTGATTCCAGCGCTCAGTCTGGCCGTCTGTCTGAGGATGAAACGCTGTAGACAGCGCCGGTTCGATCCCTAGTCCCTTGTATACCGCGTGGAGATACTTTGAAGCAAACTGGGGACCCCGGGTCCAACTCGTACACCATTGCAGAAGACAATACATCGTACTTGTTACATGATACTCGCGGCCCGACGCGTGCGGCACGAAGCGCGGACCGGATCAAAAACCCTCCTCCTTCATCGCCCGATAGTGTTCGAGCTCCTCGCGCATCGACTTCACCTGTGCCATTAAGTCCGCCAGCTCCGATTGCTCGGATTTCGCTGAAGCGGCACTTATACTTGCCGAGGGTGTCGTCGTGACGGGGGCGCTTGTCGCAGCCTGGGTGGAGCCCGAGGCAACCGTAGCCCGCACGTCGGCGCGTTTTGTGTAAGGTTTGTCCTTACAGTTGGGGCACTCGAAGCGTCGGTACCCTTGCTTCCCACAGCCAAAGCATGTGCCGGGGAAGTTTCCTTTTCCGACGGCCGCATTGATGCTGGCCGAAGCTGCGTGTGACGAGGGTGCACCACCGCGTGCCCCTCCGCGTCCTCGACCTCGCGCCGAGAAGAAGCTGTTTAGCTCGGGCCGACGAGCCCGGCTAACGTCGAGGATTTGCTCGACCTCGGTGGCACGCTTGTCAGCGGCTTGCCACGTGGCAAAGGTTTCGAGCTCGAGTTTGCGATAGACGCGGGAAGGGATGCCGCTCAGGTACTTGTCGCGTAGTTCCAGGTTCCCATACCCGGAGCGGTCCGCCGGACCCTTGAACAGCGCAGAGAATTCTGCGGCGGTGCGCTTCTCGCGCATGGTTTTGTCGGAGCAGAGCTTGGTAAGCTCCACCTGTGCCGCAGCAGCGTCGTCGAGATTGCCAAAACGGGCCTTGAATGCCTGAAGGAAGGCTTTTTCGTCGACGAAGGGGGTTGTCGCTCCCTGGATCCCGATTTGGACGGAGGCAAGCTGGGAGAAGATGGGGGTGGCCCAAGCTCGCGCGTCACCATCGAGGAGACTGAGGGCAACCTGGATCTTCAGCTCGAGGGAAGAGAGGGCCGTGTTGATCGTCCAGTAGATGAGCAACTGCGAGATGAAGCGGTTGCATTCGATCACCGACTTCCCATCGTATCGGAGCGGGAGGAGGAGCTTCAACGTCTCCTTATCAGGGACGGCAGCGGGAGAGGACATTATCGGCGACGAGGGGGACGAAGGACTGCCCGCGGACGAAGGCGACTGTTGTGACTGTCCGCCGGGCGGACTTCTCGAGGAACGAGTGCTTGAGCGGCCTCGCGGCGGCGACGGCGGTGAAGCCGGTTGAGGAAGCCCGGAGGCGGGGTGACGTAGGATAGGGACTGAAGTCGAGGCGGTGACCGCTGACGACGAGCTGGCCCAAGAAT